TCGTGTTTATTTATTATTTGTTTTTCCTCTTTGTTGTGAAAGTGCAACAGTGAAACTGACAGACGCCCCCGGGGTGTCCCACTGCCCGCATGGGGCCTCCCGGCACGTCCCGTCGGTTCACGTGTGACAGACACGGACTCTAAAAACCCACGATACGGCGCCCACGACTGAAACCAAATTAGAGTCGTTCCTCACGGGACGGTCTCCAGTCATCTGTCAGGTTCTCCCGCGGGTGCCAAGCCCCCTGTCCTTTGGCGGCCAGACCCCGGCTCTAAACTCAGAGTTGGAACCGGAGGCTCTATCAGACTCTGGTTTGAGCTTCCGGCAGGACCTTGGGGGGTTCGGGTGAAGTCCGTGTGGCGGATGTCCAGGACACCGTGTCCCGGGCCCAGCGGGGATCCTCCCTCTGGTGGGAACAGCCTTGCTGGGCTCCTGCACCCCGTCCCCCCTCCGGAAGGTACAGCACAAGCGGCTCCCACGTGACCTCGGGGGCTCGGCTCCCTCAGCTTCTTTGAGCTTGTGCCTCTTTTCTTCAACCAGAAGTCTCGGTTCTCAGTGACGCCGACACACCTGTGCTGTTCGCCATCCCTCCCCCTGCCCCTCCTGAGTCTGTGCCGACGCCTGTGTGATGCTGCTGGTGACACGTATTGTCGCCACATGTGGCTCCTGAAAGCGGGGCTGCAGCCGCGCCGCCTTCCGCGCCAGCCCAGCACACGGGTTCCCTTCTGCCGCCTGGTTTTGTCTTTTTAGGGAATTTTATAAGTTGTGTTGTATTGCAAAGTCAGAGAGGAGGCCCCCAGGTCTGGCCGGCTGCCCCCGGGGGTAACCCCCTGCTGGGCGAGCGGGGGGGGGCCGGGCAGCACGTCCTGCTCTTGGGCGACTCAGGCTCGCCGCTCGGGTGTCCCCAGCCTGCTCTCAGCCCCGCACCGCAGATCCCGAGATCACCTGTGCCCGGGGCCAAGGTCCTGCCCACGGATCATTCCCGATGGACGGCGCCGCCCCCGGCCCCCGTGCCCGGCCCCGGGGCTCCAGGTGAGGACGCGGCTCCTGTGTTTCCTCAGGCTTCACTCGTCGGTGCCGGGAGCCACCGCCTGCCATGGAGGGGCAGGACGAACAGCCCCTTCGCGAGGTCAGAGCCCTGGGCCGGGGGGGGCGGGGGTTGGGGGGCAGGGACTGGGGCGGCCCTGCGGAGAGTGGGACTCCCCCGCCGTGAGGCTCCCTGGGGTCCCTCTGGGCTCTGTGCAGAGAAGCCCTTCACTGGTCTTCCTGGGATGTTGCTAGTCAGCCGAGGGGCCCGGAGCAAGGCGCCCTGAGGGTGGGCCGCCTGTGAGGAGATTGTCTGGGGGGCACGCGGCTGACAGGCGCTGGGGCTTGATGGAGCAACCACACGAGTCCCGGCAGGCCCCGGAGAGGCGAGCACCGCTGCTCGAACGCTCCCCTTTCCTCCGCAGGCCAGCACAGAGCCCATCGTGACTTCAGGGGGTTCGGAGGTGGTGCCCAGGGTGCTCCCCGGAGAGCCCCAGAACCTGTGTGCGTGCTCCCTGGGTCACCGTGCCGGGCGGGAGGGGCTTGGGCTGGGTGATCTCCAGAGCCTATGGTGGACCAGGGGCCCCGGCCCACCCTGGGGGGGTGGCCGGGGGGCTCTTGAGCGCGAGCAGGGCTGTGGCAGGAGCCCCCTCCTCAGGTGGGGAGGCCAGGTGCCCTGCACAGCCCCCCCGTCCCGGGCCCCTCGGTGGCCTGGGGGCTCCCCTTGGAGTGGGGCCTGGCCGCATGTCCTGGTGAGCAAGGACCAGTGGCTCGAGGCCCGGAGGGGCCCCCACGTGTGTCCGCGTTCCGCGGGGCAGCACGCACCCCCGTCCCTGCACCCCAGAGGCCCAGGCTGCCCTGTGGGAGGATGGCCCCGAGCCGGGCCTTGCTGTCCCTGCAGCTGATGTGGACGCTTTCCGCCTGCTCCTGGAGATGAAGCTGAAGAGGCGGCAAGAGCGGCCCGAGCTGCCGCGCACGGTGACCGAGCTGGTGGCCGAGGACGGGAGCCGCGTGTACGTGGTGGGCACGGCCCATTTCAGTGACGACAGCAAGAAGGACGTGGCGAAGGTGAGGCCCGTGAGCCGCCACTGCTGCTGCGGCAGGACACGCAGACCCGGGCCGTCCCTCCCGCCGTAGTTACTTCCGGCACCGAGCTCTCTCCACGGCGGCTGAGCGGCGGTGGGGTCGACCTGGGGGTGGGCCTCCAGGTCCGGCGTGGCTCTGCCCGTGGGGCCCACGGTGAGCTGGCATGTCCGTCGCAGACCATCCGGGAGGTGCAGCCCGACGTGGTGGTGGTCGAGCTGTGCCAGTACCGCGTGTCCATGCTGAAGATGGACGAGCGCACACTGCTGCGTGAGGCCAAGGAGATCAGCCTGGAGAAGCTGCAGCAGGCCGTCAGGCAGGTGCGCGTGCCCGCCCCGTGGGGACTCTGGTCCGGGACCCTTCACCCTGGCCCGAGGGACAGTGAGGAGAGGCGGCTGAGGCCCCAACCCCAAGGCAGGAGCTGGTCAGGGACCCTGGGGGCCCCGGAGTGTGCTGGCAGGTCACCAGGGGCAGGAGTGGGGCCTCAGCGTGTCATGTGGCCCAGAGCTGCGACCCCACTGCGTCTCGCTCAGGGGCTCTGGACCCAGGACCCAAGTCCACTCACACTGACAGGTGCCCCAAGGGGGATGTGGGCAGAGGAGCTGGGGGTCTGGCCTGGAGGGGTGAGGGGGGAAAGGGGGCACCCGTGGGGCAGAGGCCAGGCAGCCGGTCTGAGACTGCACGGCCTGCGGTGGGCCTGCTCTGGGAAGGTCGTCTGAAGGGCCGGGAGGGGCCTCTGAGCGTGCACCGTGGGTGAGGCGCCCACCGTGAGGCCCTGCTGGACGTCAGCTTGGCCCTCGCTCCTCCCCAGAGCACAGGGCAGGCCTCCCGCAGGGCCGCAGGCACCTCATGCTCTGCCGCGCGCCGGCTGACCGGGCCTCTCCCTGCAGAACGGGGTCATGTCGGGACTCATGCAGATGCTGCTGCTGAAGGTGTCCGCCCACATCACTGAGCAGCTGGGCATGGCCCCTGGCGGCGAGTTCAGGGAGGCTTTCAAGGAGGTGGGCCCGGGCCCGGCCGGGGGGG